AAAATTTCTATTTGTGACAAAATAAAAATAATAAGCGAGTAATTAAATTGTTAATTTGTAATCAAATTGTATAGATCTGTGATTTAAATATATTTAATTAATAAAATAAATAAATAATTAAATCATAAATGCATTTTAATAAAAATCTGATTTTTAAAATTTGAAATTATTTTCTTAATTTTGAAATGTGTATACTTATGAAATTTTCCTTATTTGAAATATAAAGATAGCAAGTTGAGCAAAAATGAGATAAAGGTCCACCACTAATTGAAATCCCAAACCAAAGTTGAACTGGTTTGATTCAAGGGTCGGTCCATAATAAGTTGGATTCTTGTGCTCGACAACCCGCTAAGATTGATTTGCTTGGCAAAATTTATTAAAAATATTCTACAATTACTGACAATTTTACCTGTAAAATATTTTATATTACACAAATAATTTAACCGTGTATTTTCATACATATCAATATAACTTAATTTTAAATTGAATTAAATTTTAAAACAAATAGAAATAAAAAAATAACACGTTGAAATATCTTGATATGTAATACTGACGAGTTCGTGAACCTAACGAGTTCGACAGTCTAAAATTTCTAAACGAGTCAATAATAAGCTCCTCTTTGAGCCCCATTACATTAAATTTCATTACATTTCATTTTTATCTCTCTTATTTTCAACCACACAATCTTTCATAAAAAAAATTGCACGTAAATCGAAAATTTTTCATTCTTTTTCAACCACTCATTTTTCAAAAAAATACTATTCCACCCATTAATTTTTCCACGTAATGAGAGTCAAACAGGGGCTAAGTATAAATTGAATTGATAATGTTTAAGAGAGTTTGGACCAACACCCTCATTTTGACGCCACGAACTCGAACTATTAGCTTCATGTTGGTAGTCAATTCACATTATGCTCCCGTTTGATTTTCATTCTTATGAAAATGAAAATAAAAATGAAAAATATAATCGTTATAAGATTCACACAAGAAAGGAAGTTAAATAGGGTGGTTTGATGTGATGGATAACGATTATATTTGTTATTTTTGTGG